CTCGTCAAAAGCAGAGCAGACCACCTTGCCTACCACTGTCACACTATTGTGGAAATGTGATTTTTCTTAATTTATCACTTCTGAAAGACGTATTTCGGTTTCTACGATTAGATGCGTTCAGACCCACGAATATAATACAAGGATTCTCCGCTGGGGGCGCTTACGGTATATGTTAACCACTTTGGCCATGTTACCATCATCATCGATGAAACTACAACTCAGTCGGTAAATGTAACCTCGCAACACGAAATACATAGTTCCGAACTGTATCGAGAGTTTTGTTACGCTGTTGCCACATGTCCTCCATTACAATTCTGCCCATCAGGAAAACGATGGAATACAGCTCGAGGCGAGATTTCGATTCTCGCCGAACGTAGGAAAAGAATGGCAAGAACGAAAGAGATCCGAGAACGAAACAATACGTACTAATGTGTGCAACGATAAACCTTTTTTATTCGTACTTGCAAGGGCGCTGATTTTTGTTAATCTATGAAATTACATACGAAATACGCGAAATAGTGTTCCGAAGGAGGAAATTGTAAAAATGACACTACATATACCGGGTATTCCATGTACAAAAAACATGGAATACTATACAAATTTTCTGTTTGAAATGATATTTATTTATCATTTATTGACATAATTGATGTATGCTTACTAGGCTGGCTCTTAATTTTCAATATCCGATTTCTTTTGCTCTCACCTCCTAGTATGCTTCCATTTTATGAAAAAATGATCCCTGAAAAAGTTTATTTCAATCGGACAACAGGAAAGGGTGCCGACTAGGCCTTAAAGTTTTGAATTTATTGATGTATTTGGAGATTACAAAACATTTCTCAAAAATGGTACGTATTATCGAAATTTTGTTCAAATAATATTAAATGAGCGTTAAATTTTCTATAATTTCTTCCTATATAATTGTTTCGTACTCCCATTCATTTGTAAGATAATAGCGTTTAAATATTGTAAATTCCGCATTACGCATAATGTAATGTAGAATTACGTTTAATTATCTTCGACTTACGACTACATGAAATTTAAATTTAGTATGAAGATTGTAGGTAGGTTTGTCGCGCTCGAAGAAAGGGTGGTGCTGCTGTAATCTTAGTTTTCATTTCACTTCCGTTTGTTCGTTTCGTGTCACGCGGTTACGACATGTTTTATGAAAACCCAGGTATTCTTCATTTTATGTTCTGCTTATTAGTTTAACGTTTATATTATGATAAGTACAAGTTTCAATAAATACGTTTTATAACTATAAGTGATGTGCATTCGTTGTAACAAAGATTATAATCCATTTTTTCTTACACATAGGTTGTTCGCAATCTTTTATGGATGGATTGTTTTTGAACGTTTTTGTGCATTGTGTCTCAATTTATAAATAGTTAATTATAATAGTCTGGAGATAATGAATTCCGTTTTTAATGTATACGATGAGAATGACATGTACACGTGTCGGGGAATTGTTAAACCTTTAAAATATAATGAAGAATGTAATTCAAGAATATGATTATATGAAATCCCATTACCTTCTGTCCTGATAAAAATGAAGACGTATAGTAGAAATTTACGTTTAATTAATCTTTATGGAGATTGATGTATTACAGTAATAACATTAACCTCGAAGTAAGTACACGTAATGTCAAACCGGTTTATCTAATCGCGCGTACGGAGCATTAGATTTGTTTACGCAGGCGAGGTTTAATCATGTTTTCTGCATGGCTACGTTTTGCGCTTCCGTGTCAGGTTATTCTGTTTGCTTTGGGCAGATTGCAGTTTATTATATTGCTCCCCTTTTTTTGGCCATCACACAGTTGCAACGCAATTATTGTTTCATTATGAAATAAATACAATCGAAAGAAGCGAGCACGCGAATTTCATTCAATTTAACGCACGAATTTAATTCAATTTAACGGAAGAATTTACTTTGTTTCACTTATCTCCTACCAATAAAATCATTTTTCTCACGTTGTAAACGCAAAATGTCAATTATTCATATACGTGTAATTGACAATTTGCAATAGTTAACGTTATCGTTCTTTAATCGGCCGGTTCAGAATAGCTGAGTATGATGTACGATATAAATAGAAAGCGTGGGTTCAATGACCCAATGTGTAATCTTCATTTGAGAGTTACTAAGTGTCCACTTCAGATTATTATTGTGCACTCAATAAGCCAACGGTTACCAGAAATTTATCACAGACCCATTATCACTTTAACCTCTAGCGTACGATCGTCCCATTCGTGATTTTGTTATTTGATTTGGCGCATGCTTCAGATCAAAGCAGCTGACACAGAAGGAGCCTGCACGTGACATACACTGTAAGATGAAAAAAATACATAAAAGTAAATATCAAATGATAAATTTAAAATAAATTGTTTGTAAATCATTTGAAAATCAGTCTGATTAGAATTTACACCGAAGGATGTGCAGATTAAATTAGAAGAAAATGAAAATAAAATGGCATTCTCAAAATTTATACTGAGTAACATGCAAGTGAAGTTATTTTTTATGCTGTATCTACTGAAAATTAGTCTAATTAGGGACTGCATCAAAAGGTGTACAAAAATTAAACTAGAAAAAGAAAAGCAATATTACATTTTGAAACAGATAACTTGAAAATTTACACTGATTAGCGTGCATTGGGTGGGGGGAGGGGGGTTGTTTCCTCAAGTTAATCGTTCGAAATACAAATTTGCATGGAAAAACATTGCGGAGGGTAACTCCTATCCACTCCTGGTATCGGTGTGTTTCCGATGTTTTAGGCAGTTTCGGAGCTGTCGAAGTTCTCGTCTTCCATTCATGTTTATTTCTGCCAGTCTGTTTTTGCTCCTTGCTCTATACCTTCCCTAGACTTTACGGGTAGGTTCTTTCGTCCCTCGAGCCCTTTCTCACCCATCATTTTTGCATTCCAATCGACGAGTTTTCGATGGAAGAACGGAATGGGAACGAAGAGAGGCGAGAACGTAGTCGTGCAACAATGGAAAAATAATTTGACGACTCACCTGGCCAAGAGGTCGAAGTTCAGATTACCGTGGACGAGGATGGTGGATGGGGGGAGTTTTAATAAGCAGTGGGAGTGTGGCTTAAGTGGGTGATATCTTAAAATCTAAAATTCATTAAATCGAAACCACAAGGTGGCGGGTGGAAACGTGTAAGGCGCGACGATACTCGAGATATTATAAAGTAGACACGGCATGCGTCGCCGTTTGGGGACAGCTGAACTTCTTAATTACATCGCCGTGGCCCGATTAAGTTATAGAAGAAAGCACCCTCGTGAAAGTTTCAGTCGTCCCTGAAAAATTAAGTACACGGCATACGGCTTCCGTGCAACTGACCCGGGGAGTAAGCATTTTTTAATTCAGGACTCGAATGAGTTTCACGAATCTGCGGAACAAGTTTTAATTTATGCTCGAACGTCGTAGTAGTGTGTAGAACGAAAGAGTTGTTTTTGTTTTTTCGAAATGGTATATAAGTCCACTTTTCTTTATTTCGAGATATTTAATGTTTTGTATTGTATCCTATTTAAAAATATTATTAAATGAGAATAATTTTGTTTTATGCCTTTAAGATTCCAAACATATTTAGTTTTATTATGTGATCATTTTTATAAATATTTTTGAAGTAACAGAAGGTTTGTCGTAACCGCAAGATTGACTTACACCACTTTTAAAAATATTTTGTCAAAAACGTGACTAATACCAAATTTAAATTTATATTTCAATTAAAGTAGACCTTTCTGAAATGGTATTATAAAATATAAATAAGAATAATTATAATAGAAACCATGAAAGTAGGTATATTATTGAATGTAAAAATATATGCATTTGATATACATTTTTAAGAATTTTATTATAATACGTTTACTAAAAGAACTATTGCAAGGATAGATAGTATTAATAATTTTTACTCATATTTTATTACCTAATTTCGCTTCGTAGCAAGTTTCTTGAAATATTCGTAGTGAACAGGGGCTATATTACACTACCGTTCAATAGTTTGGAAGCAGTTAAGCACAATCTTAAAAAGTCAAGTTACAAATTTTTTATTATAAAGACTTATATGTATATTTATTATACATGATAAAACCGACTTAACGAAAAAGTTATTCTTATCAAATGTTTGCCCATTAAATTGACAACCTTTATTTTAAATAATTTCCAATGAAATTCTGGGCATTTTATTTATTAATTTCCTAAAAGATTCTTTATTTCAATTTTTCCATTCTGCTTTAAAATACTCCCAGAATTGTGTGACACACACACACACACAAATAACAAAACATACACACAAATAGAATATGATAAAATAAAAAATTTGTTAGAAATGTGATTAGAAAACTTATTTTTTTCTGCAGATTGGTTAGGGTATGCAATATACTTTTTTACAGGCTACTTATTATAGTTTTTTCAAAATTTAACTTACACCACGTTACAAAAAGATGGCTTAAATATACAACCAAGATTTTCCAAATTTGTATTTCTAAGAGAATAACGATTACTCCGTGACATACATGGTGACCATAAAAAAGAGCGAATGGAATAAATTAATTGCGAATTGTATATAGATCACGTAGAGCAAGAAAATCGAAACCTTGTCTATCGTCTCGAGGCGTCGCCGTCGATCGAAAGTTCCCCAGAACTTAAATCGAGATCGAGGAACTTTTGAAATTAATTCTTATTGAGCTTTGAACCGAGTCGTCGAACGCGACACGATTTCTTCGCGGCCCCCAACTTGTGTAATAACCTTCCCCTTCGGAAACTTTTCGTCACCGAGCATCTAATAAATATTAAATTTGAACCGTTCCTCGTCGGGCATAACGATTTCGATACAATCTTCCCTATCGCCGTGCATTCATAGCGCGATGTATAAAACGACCGTTTTCATGAGACTCTTTAGACGCCTTGGAGATTCCAGTCCATTGCATGTAGCTCGCGAACGGAACTACTTAACAGATTTTTCATGTGAAATATAGGTAGTCCTTTTCGCTCTGTTTCAGTGGACCTGCTTCAAATGTTGGAGTTGAATTTAACGGTATCCTTTCCGGCTACATCTCTTCTCACGGTGATCCTGGCTCTTGTCGGTAAGTTATGCGAATTTTATTTTCTTTTTTTTTTTTTTGGACGAAATGTACTGTCTGTTTTAAAAGTCTCCGAATAGGAATTCAGTGACCAAGTGAAGGGCCATTTTGACTCGTAGTGAATATTTAATTATTCATAATTCTTTAACAGCCTAATAAAATTACGAATTGTGGTAAAAAAATGTATATCTTTTTATGTACTAAATTTCCGTGATAAAAAATGGAGCAAAAAACGTATTTCACAGCTATCTTTTTAATAATTACTGTTAAGGGGTTAACACCTAGATAAAACACGTATTCAACTGTGAAACAAATGCATAAAATAGGCAGTTTATCCGCAACACTTGTGTAAACTTTGGAATCATCTCTAATACTCATTAAAGATGACGAATTTCACGTTGTTCGAGATCTTTGGTCTCATGAGTCTCATCAATGCACGTAATATTTTGTCCTCCAATGTTGTCACAGTCATCTATTCTATTCGCAATATTTTGTTTCTTATGATTATTTTTTCCTATTCAATCTGAAAACCAAGTCGAAAGGAAAATGATCTGCGAGAATTTTGAACGTTTAAAAGCCTCCGTCCACCATGCTATTTGCCATCTTGGCGAAATTCATCCCAACAACGCTCAGTCCTGCGAATATTTTAAATTAATTTTTGATCAAATAAAATATTGTTTCGTATGAACGATTACTTATAAAATGTATAATTCAAATGGTGTTACGTTGAAATCTTACGTGTTTATGGATTATCCCGATACTTTGGGGACGTCACGAAAAGAGCGGAGGAACATTCAGAGGCGTTAAGATTCGCTAGCGTGGGGTCAAAGTTGGAGCGAGTGTATCAGGGTACCGAAGGTGCAAAATATTAAAGGCCTTTTTACTAAATCAGGGTCCTCTCTCGGTTTCGTTCCCTAGTTGATACGACGTTGGCTCAGTTACAAAGCTGATTGGCCGGGACGGTTAACCCAGGATTCTGCATAAATTTCTGATGAAGGCGCAACAGTTGGGTAACCCGCTCGGAGCCCATTTAGCAACGGTGGCGGCGTCGGTGGTTTCCCTACCACGGACGCCTATTTCCATTTCAACCCGAATCTCCTCTTCACGCTTCGCATGTCCGTCAGCGCCATCCAATTGACCTGCATAAAGTGCGATATCGCTAATCCCCTCGCAGGCCGATCCGACGCTTCTGAAAACCCTGATAAAATTCTGCTCGTAGACGAACGCATACCTCGAATTCCCCCTCTTCTTCCCGTCGTTTCATGGCCTCTTGAGCTGTTCTCGCGGCTGGAACTAACCGTATCCGCGATCGGTAGCACTCTCACGAAGCTAAAATTGAAATTTGTGTTGAGTAACTGAACGCTTCCGCGATCGAAGTGCTAGATCTACTGTTTTTTATCAAGTAACATTCAGTCATCGAATTGAGAGTTTTTCGTTTTTTTTTGTCCTTATTTGATACTAATGGGCGTGTGTGTTAACAGATATGTGTGTAAGGTGTAAATCGACAAGTACCTAGATCAGGTTTTGGTTCGGTGCATTATTATGTATTCAAAAAATCACCATATCAAACACCAGATGATTTGAAGTCGTCGATACTGTTGGCATGGCGCGAATTAGATGCGAGGACGCTTCAGAATTCGAATAATAACATGCACAGTGAATTTTCAATCTTATCAATCGTAATGTCCTAGTTGTTATTTATTTAAAAAAGGTTTTTATACAGGATATTATCGAAACTGCTTTACAAACTAGACGAAACCTAAATTGAGAAATGCCCTATTATTTTTAAAATTACAGCCAATATCTTACATTTTTCTACCGAAAATGATATTCTTTTTATTAAAAATTCAACGAACTGCGTTGATTTCCTGTATTAGAAACTCATCGAAGGTAATAAATTTGAAAAATTTTTGGTTGCCTTATAAATCCGACGAGCACTGTATTAGTCGCAGTAGTGGTAGAGTCAGAGATGGTCGAAATTGAGAAATGCCCTATTATTTTTATAATTACAGCCAATATCATACATTTTTCTACCGAAAATAATATTCTTTTTATTAAAAATTCAACGAACTGCGTTGATTTCCTGTATTAGAAACTCATCGAAGGTAATAAATTTGAAAAATTTTTGGTTGCCTTATAAATCCGACGAGCACTGTATTAGTCGCAGTAGTGGTAGAGTCAGAGATGGTCGAAATTGAGAAATGCCCTATTATTTTTATAATTACAGCCAATATCATACATTTTTCTACCGAAAATAATATTCTTTTTATTAAAAATTCAACGAACTGCGTTGATTTCCTGTATTAGAAACTCATCGAAGGTAATAAATTTGAAAAATTTTTGGTTGCCTTATAAATCCGACGAGCACTGTATTAGTCGCAGTAGTCGTAGAGTCAGAGATGGTCTAAATTGAGAAATGCCCTATTATTTTTAAAATTACAGCCAATATCTTACATTTTTCTACCGAAAATGATATTCTTTTTATTAAAAATTCAACGAACTGCGTTGATTTCCTGTATTAGAAACTCATCGAAGGTAATAAATTTGAAAAATTTTTGGTTGCCTTATAAATCCGACGAGCACTGTATTAGTCGCAGTAGTCGTAGAGTCAGATATGGTCAGTTTTCGTTCGGAAACTCGGTTCAGGATTTCTTCGTTCGCGACTTCATACGGATAGATCGTAGGGGTGCCACCAGTTGTTCGGCCAGTATCCGAGTAAAATGGCGACAGAAGTGGTAAATTTCCGGATTCGTACTAGCGATACTGTAAGGACTGCGGGGGTTCGTTCGCTGGCGCGCGGGCACACTCTCGTGTGTATATCGGGTTTACGGGGGGGATGGATGTAGAAGAAGGAAAGGAAGCCTTAGGGAAGTTGTTATCTGGAGTAATGGGTTCCGGTTCCTATGTCGTTTCCTGCCCTCCATCCGTCATCCTGCAGCTCTCTCTGGCGAGTACCGCCACGATTTCTCAGCCATTCTATATACATATATATGTTCGCCTCGTTCTCCTCTGTCCCGCTGTCTGCGGTTGTGCTCTCCTCGTCTGTCCCTCCTGTCCCATGAAAAGAACATTCAGCGTTATATTTCTGTCACGATAAACACTGAAACGAACGAAGCCAATTCTATTAATATAACGTGGGAAATTAGTTATCGTGTACAAGAAATTTATCGTCGTGGTAAATATGTAACCGCGACTCTGTGACTTTAAGCTTATCTTGTTTTCACGCTTGTTAAATATACTACTAATGATATAGTACTAATGAGACCGTTAACAAGAAAAAAAAATACATTGTTTGCGGGATAATGGAGTATCTGCGACGATGTCCCGATGTTGATACTTACCGGACCTTCTTGAGCGACGATAAACATATTAAACATATTGTTGTGTTCATTCGACAAATGATATATAAGACAAAATTTATTTTTTACTGTTAAAAACCAACGAATAATTTTCACAAAAAATACACTCGAAGTATTCCTCGAGAACAGTGTATATTCATCGGATTGATCGATTTTTTATTTTATGCATCGAAAGATAATAAAAGCACGGGGCTTAAAATGTTACTAGGTTTCCGGACGTGTCAGTATTATTTAGAAACAACGTTACTTTCCCTCCAAACCAATGTTATATCCGACTAAATCGCAGCCATTTTCGGTTGCTTTTAGTTTAGGATGGCGGCAAAAATCGATACAAAAGACGTGTTAGCGATTCGGTAACGGTCCCCGTTGCGCGCGGTGGCTTGATACGGATAGAAGCAAAGTTGTTTCGACGGGGTCGTAAGCAGATAAACGAAATAGCAGCGAGTGCAACATGTTCTGACCGTCCCTGAAAATGTGTTTACAGCATGTTAGGCGGTCGATCATGCGTCACTGATACGCAGGGGCGCCAGTGACTCCGTTCTTTGACGTTCCATTATGCAAAATCGTCTTCCTCGTCGTTCCCGGGGCCAAATGCCGTACGACACGTGGTCGATTTCACGTGAATTCACTCCGATGATACACACAGGTTCCGAGAAAATCACGGACGCAAACAGCCGTGAACGACGAATGGAACAACGAAATTTCCGAAGTGAATACAGAGAGGGTGTATCAGTGTAGCGAGCCAAAACTTTTCTGATAAAGGTGACCGGCCCGAAGCTCATCAGTGACCGAGACGGCAGTGAATTTACGAATCTTAGTAGTAAATTATGATAATGAAGCGAATAAATAATAGAATGAAACCTTTTCAATAGATCTCGAGGGAAAATTAATGGGTATAAGTGGTGGAATCATGGCAGCCGTCTTAATTTACGTTGTATAAATTAGGGTTGCCATTGACAGCCTGGCTGGCTTTTAAGGGACGCAATCGAATATGACACGCTGATTTTTGTGCCGTTGGGTATAAAGGTAGCATGTTGAGAAATATTTGACACGAATTTTTTTGTGGTTACTGACATTCACGTCTAGGAATTTAAAACAGCTCTAAAAGTTGTGGGTGATAATACATTTTCCGTAATACATATCACGAAAACTATTCAAGTTTGTTTATTTTTTTAATAATAAAAGTAATTGCTTGAATATTTTTTCGAAATACTTATAATATTTGTTTAAATAATTATTTTTTATTTTTTAGTATTTCGGAAAACTACCTCATCAGTTGTTTGTATGATTAGATAAAATACAATTTTTGTTAACAAACCTTTTTTTAGGTCGAATAGTCTGCAAGATATTAAGGAAAATGTATTTTTCACCCACGGCATTGAGGACTGTTTTTATCCCATAGATGTGCATGCTAACAGTTACAAAAAAATACGTGACAAGTATTTTTCAAAATACTACCCTTGTATCAAACAGCATATAAATCGACGTGTTATACTTGAGTGATGTCCTTTGTTAGTAGTCAAGTAATAAAATCTGGGATTTTCAGGTAGAAAGGTGGGTTTATATAATAATGAACTGTGTTAGCTGCAACATCGGTTTATTAATTCAGATTTGTTGTCCCAAATACATTTAACTGGGGAGGGA